TCAAAAATATGCTAAGTATACCTCAGCAAGGACCCCTGCAATCCCGTCTAGGTCAAGGGTGCCGACACCCTTGACCGCCTCCCTTTCAGTTGGAGGAATGGCCTTGATCATAGACTTGGCCACCTCTACCAAGTCAGGCTCCTGAGGGCCGGCTGCATCAAGCATAAACAAACGGATTAGACCTAGTAAAAAAGGGAGCAAGTCTAAAATTTACTAGGACAACTTCATACTTCTAGGCGGCCCAGCTGGAGTTTTAGAAGAAGTGGCCGGCTGTTTCTCAGCCGCCGCATGTTTCCTGGCAGAACCAGGAGAGCTCGCAACAGTCGTCCTCCGGGCCTTGGGGTCCGGCTGTTGGGAAGAAGAAGCTCTTGGAGCGCCCGTCTAAAAAAGAAGAAAAAAGTCAGTATATGCATAAACACAACTCCAAAAAGAGGGTGAAAGGTTCGAAGCCCACCAAGGGTGCCCCCTTGTTGGGGGAGTCGGTTGAAGCTTGTTGCATGATGGAGGCCCGCAACATGGCCGCCGCAGTCTTGGAGGCGGTAATTTTGCTCATGGCGTCCGCTGCAAAAACAAACAGCAAAGTTAATAAAAGTTATAACAAAAATGCACGGAACAGCAGAGTATTCGACAGGCCGACTACCTCTTGAGGACCGACTGCTGAGGCCACAGGCGACCAAAAAGTACTCGTCATAGAGCCATTTGAAGCTCGGGACGCAGTGCAGGGGTACTTGCTCTCGTACCCCTGAAGTAGAGTTCACCTTCGACTCTACTTTAAAGAGTCCTTTATCCAGGATCTCTTTCTTAGCTTTGGGGGGAACAGGCGGCATGCTGCGGCCGCCTGCAAGAAGGGGCGGATTCCTGTTCCACCTGTTGAGGCGCTTGTTCAGCTCCGTGTCTGAACTCTCAATGATGAAGAAGGTGCACCGCCAGTCCTTCCATTTGTTTGCTTTACCTCTCGTCATGAGGTAGCCCCTGTGGCTCCTCAATTGATACCAGCCGGTACCGCCTTCCTTAGGGGTCCGGCTGAGGTAGTTCATGTGGGCGAAAGCCTCGAAGCTCGGCTCCACCCCGTGCAGTTCGCACTCGGCCACATAGCCGAGTACGCTGACCTAGGAGTTCGGGGCTAACTGCCATAACCCCAACTCATACCCATCCAAGATCCGCTGTACAGCCGGATGTAATGGGAAGCGCAGCCCAGCCTTGATGGCCGCCTCGTAGCAGCCAAAGCAGGCGCTATCATAACTGGTACCAGCCGGCCAGACGACTGTGTCTTCTGGATCCGACACAAACACTAAAAAGCCGGGGCCCATTGTGTGGTTTGCGATAAAGCTCTCCACTTTCTCTTGCATGGCTGTGATCCGGCCCCGAGGTACCGTGCAGTAGTAGGGGGTATTTTTCTCTCGGTAAGAGGCGGATGGCTCCGCCCAATTGTCCCCCTTCTCAACTGCGTGAGAAAGCCTCGCCTCTTGCAGGCGACTGTTTTTCTCTTATGTGTCCAGAGAAGCATGGCCAGAAGAGCTAGACTCGGAATCGTCCTCTGACGAGTCCGAAGAAGACGACTCCTCCCCTCTCCCGGAGGGGCCCGCCTCCTCTCCTTTAAAAGGAGCAGGAGAGAATGAAGAATTGTCAACTGAGAAATGGGAAGGGGTCACTTTGATTCCTCCCTCAGAACAGCCAGCTTTCAAGCCGCTTTGTTTCACTTCCACATCTGGCGCCTGGTTAGATGTTTCACTAATCGGCACCCTGCGGGAGGAGCCGTCTGAATTTGAGATCCTGGCAGTCTTTTTTGTTCTGGCCATCATGCTCTGCATAGACACAGATACAGTCGGACTTTGTATAAAGGGCAAAGATGGGTCCGGAAAAGGGCAGGCGACACTCCTAGTCCTAGATTCAGCCGTCCCCGGTGACCGACTGATCACTAACCTAGGTCGTGTCGTGTGCTTCCGTGGTGCCATTTCAATAAAGAATAAAATAAAGAGAAAATTAAGAGTAAGAGAACCGACGGTTACCTGAACGAGTGACGGTTGATGAAGTTCTGAAAATCCTTTGCAGTCGGCTTGTCAGAGTAGGCGGTAGGAAGAAAGAGTCCAAAATGTCAGAGCAAGTTCAGGGGTCCGAATGTTCTCTCACAAAGTTCTCAAGTGTGAATGACTGAAGTCAACACTCCCTTATATATAGGCGAAGTGGGAAGGCGAAGGGTCACTTCCAGAATTCAAAATTTGGGCGGGAGAATCTCTCGGCCTTTCGCCGAGTGACACCTGTAGCAGGCCGTCGCCTGTTACAGTGCGGCACCTGTCACAGGTAACACGTGACCAGTCACGTGCCACTTGTGAGGGGAAAATGATTAGGGGATTTTGCTCCCACCAATCGGAATGCGCCACGTGGGCCAACCAGGTCCTGCCAAGTGTCCCCCAGTTGGAACTGTCAGGACCTGCCACGTGGCACGCGCTTATTCGTCCACCTTGGACCTATTATGTCATGACACGTGGCATACTCCATGCCTAATGGAGAAACCGGCCACCCAGGCCCAACTTCCGAGGGAAGCCCAATCAGCCCTAGGTTAACCTAAACCTAGGATTGGCACGTTTTCCAAGGTTATAAATACCTCCCTTAATCCTCATTAAGGGGGGATTACAGGGATTACAGAGATAACAGGCTGATCACGCTAACAAAGCAGATTACCTACATTAAACACTCTCACCTAGAGAGACCCAATCACTTTAATTTCCGCATTAATTACTCCTTAATCAAGTACTAACTTGACCGTTGGAGGCGGAGCTCCCACCACCAGGAGTCTCCGTTGTTTTGCAGGTACAGGTGTCCGGTTCCAGTCTCGGAATTGTAACTCTCCCGCAGGACATCAGAAAACCCCGAAACAATAAGTGGCATGACCACAGTGAGTTAGTGAGCTTATGTAGTACATAAGCTCTTAGAACTCAATTTTTATTTTAGTAATTCTATTATATTTTAAATTAAGAAAAATCCTATTTATTTCTTTGTCAAATTATTTATATTATTTATAAATAATTCATTTCACTTCCCAAAATTTTTTCACTTAATATCACTATTTCAACAGCTAAACTTCAAGCAAAAGCATTCCAATAAATTATTTCTAAGCTATGAGAATTTATAGAAATTATTTTTATTTATCTATGTGATGCGTTATTAAATGTATGGCTGGTTAGCAATCAATAATTGATTGAAAAAGCTACAAATTTAGGGAATTTTAGCTTTTGTTATCCCAATTTGTTAGCTTCAATGAATGTTTTAAGGGTGTTAAGTGATATATGAATGTATGCCTGACAAGCGCACTTCAGGGCGCGCTTTAGAGCATATTGTAGGATGATTTTGGATGTATTTGGGGCCGTTTTGGCCGATTATTACCTTTTTATGCTTACGTCCCCCATATTACGTGCTTCACGGGTTTTCGGTTTGTTTTTGATGTGTTTTTAGGTAATATCAACCGAGTTTAATCAGATCCCGAGCCCTTGATGCGTAACCGAGCTAGCCTTGACTGAAGTCCGAGGAGTTAAGGAAGTTCAAGTGCCGTGCATTGATTACATAGCACAGGCAGCACGACCGTGTTACCATAGGCACACCCGTGCTGGCCTATAAGCAAGCAACCCCAGGCAAGGCAGCACGGCCGTGCAAGCCAATAGCACGACCGTGTCAGTATCCACGCACCCGCACGGCCGTGCAGGCCATTAGCACGGCCGTGCCAGATGTTGCCCGTGCCCGTGTCAGCTTCAGTATGAGCCCCGTGCTAGAGCATATTCAGAACGGCCGTGTCATTTTTAGCACGGCCGTGCCATATATAGCACGGCCGTGCCAAATTGAAGAAGAAATCCGGTTTACCTACTGACAAGCTAGCACGGCCGTGCCAAATATAGCACGGCCGTGCCAAATATAGCACGACCGTGCTGATCCAGGGTTGACTGCGCGCTTGATTTCTCCGAATTAGAAGACGTATATAAGGCCCGACTTTAAGGAGATTTAGAGACAGTTTTAGAGATAGTTTTTGAGAGCCTTTGTAGAGAGTTATTGGAGAACGTTCTTAGTATTAGAGATTCATTAGTTTTCTTAGAGATTATTCTAGCGATTTTAGTTTTCTTGGATTAATTTGAAGCAAGATTTGCGAAGATTCTTTGAATTATTCATTGACGACGGATATCAAAGTTCTGAACTTTTCCATTGATTCGCATCAATACAATTGGTATTATTCATTCTTGTTTATTAATCAAGCTTTATTATTCCTTAATCAGAATTCATGTTTATATCTATTATGCTTTTGGAATTCATTATTGCTTTGATTATGAATATGTGTGAGTAGTCTCCTAGCTAGGGTTTCGGGATAAAACCCGGCCTAGGTAACCTATGTAATTGAGGATTGATTTTGATAAACGGATTGTGATTAAATTGATTATATGCGATTGCATGTTAATTCATTATAATAGGAGTAGCTAACCTAGAATCTTGAATTTGATTGCATGATATCCTTGATTTGAACAAGAGATTGTGAATTGAGTATTTCATTGTTGAATGTGGTTTGATTATGTATCGAGTAATGTTAAGTGCATGAGAAATCCAAGGTTAATATTGCCCGTTGTCTTCCTACCTCATGATATTGATCAGACATATAGTCTTTGCATATCCCGTTTGTCTCTGTGATTCCTTGTTGCGTAGTTACCGATGGTTTGGTGAATTCCCGTCTTCCCTAGTGTCTTAGTTTATCTGGTTTATCCCATCTTATTAGTAGTATTTTAGAACACCATTTTCCATTGATTTCGAACTAGCTTAGGTTTAAGATTGATTTGCAATTACTCTCGTTCCTCGTGGACCGAACCTTTATTTGCCATTGTACTTGGTTATAGGGTGTTCGTATAAGTATTGTTTGATTGAGAGTTAGATTGTAGTGACCGATTTAACCCTCGTCAATGCCTTAAGAGCTATCCAAGACCATATCTAATATAGACCCTTGTTCTTAATTCAGGAGAAGTAAAATGGCAGGGGGAAGTAATACCAATAACTATGGGGGTGATCTGAGTGAAGTTGTTAGGCAATTAGCAGTTGTGGCCCAACAGTTGGCAAGGAGTTCAATCAACAATGGGGATGCTCAGGGAAAACTTTTTAAGAAGGTTGCCCAAAGCACACCACCAACCTATCAAGGAGAACTTGACCCTACCATACTACAAAATTGGTTAAGAGAGTTTGAGAAACTGTTTGGGGCAGTTGGATGTCTAGAGAATTCTAAGGTGGGCTGCACTACTTATTATTTAAAGGGTGAAGCTGATCTTTGGTGGCAACAAAATGAAGCTACTATTAGAGCATTACCTGGATTTAATTGGACTAAGTTCCAAGATAAAGTGAGAGATAAGTTTTACCCTAGCTTCTTACTAAAGCAAAAGGCTGAGGAGTTCTCAAACCTTAAGATGGAGGAGATGTCGGTTACTAAATACTATACAAAGTTTATTGAGTTATCTCGTTTTGCTAAAGAGTCTATTGCTATAGAGAAGGCAAAGGCTAGAAAGTTTGAGAGTGGTTTGACTATTGATTTGCAGCTGAAGTTGTGTGGACAAGTGTTTGAAACTTTGGACGAGGTGTATGGGAGAGCTGCACACTTGTATGCATTGGAGTTGAAGAAATAGAAGGAACTGGCTAAGGTGGAAGGGAACGAAAAGAGAAAAGAGGTAGGAAAAAGATAATCTTGCTTGGCCGCTGAAGAAGAAGATTTTTTGAATATTGAGGAATTGGACTTGGCATTCTTGCGGCAAAATTCTGGGAACCAACAGGGTAACTAGTATAATTTTAAGACGCAAAAATACCACCGTAACAACAATTTCAATAACAACAATACTTCCCTAGGTAATAATTTTCAAGGAGGACGTCACTTCAATGGAGGGGCCGGAAACAATAACCAAGGGAATAGCAAGAATGATAGATGTTATTTTTGCAAGAGGTGCAAGTTTAACCAACCTGGGAAGGATTGTGAGGGAAACCTAGTTACTTGTCGTGCTTGTATTAAGCTGGGGCATCGATAGTATGAGTGTTTCTCCAAAGGTTCTAATGGGAAAAAGCAGAATAATAATTCAGGAGGGGCCCAAAGGAAATTTCTGGGAAACAATAATAACTTTACTGCGAATAAGGGAGTGCAGTAGAATGGAGCAAAGAACAACAATAACAAAAGTGGGAATAATCAATAGAAAGGTGGAGCTACAAGGAAACTGAATGTGTTGAGTAGGCATGAGGCCGATCCACGAAAGATGTCAACACTGGTACTTTTTCTATTAACTCTATTCCTGTTAAAGTTTTGTTTTATTCTAGTGCAAATTTTTCTTTCATTTCAAAAAGAATTGTTTCGAAACGTAAAGGCTATTTGAAAACAATAGAAGTAGTAAACTTACCAACAACCATTTCGATGGGTAGGGTAGTGAATTGTACCAAAATATTTAGAGAAGTTCCTTTAGTGATCGAGGGGAAAGTGTTTCTGTCTGACATCATTGAGTTTGGGTTAAGTGATTTCAATGTCATCCTAGGAATGGATTGGTTGAGCATGTACAGCGCAGAAATCAGTTGTCGATCGTAGAAAGTGAAAATGAAAACAAGTGAGAATGAGTCAGTGACTTATTGAATGCCTGGTGAAACCAAATTCCCTAGGTTGATATCCGTTTAAAGTTGGCGAAGTACAGTAAAAAGGAGCATCTAGTGTACTTTTGCATAGTGAGAAACATGGATCATGAAGAGGCAACTAAACCAGAGGATATAGAAGTGGTGAATGATTTCCAGGATGTATTTCTCAATGAGATCCCTAGAATGCCACCTAAGAGAGCAATTTATTTCACTATAGACTTAGTCCTAGGGACATCACCAATATTTAAAGCACCGTTTTGAATGGCACCTGTAGAAATGAGTGAATTAAAGGAGCAACTGTAGGATTTATTGGATAAAGGATACATTAGACCAAGTGCGTCTCCTTGGGGAGCGCCGGTGTTATTTGTTAAGAAAAAATATGGGAGTATGAGGTTGTGTATTGACTATAAGGAATTAAATAAGGTGACAATAAAGAACAAGTATCCACTTCCAAGGATTGATGTTGTGTTTAACAAGGTAAAAGGTGCAACACTGTTTTCTAAGATTGATTTGAGGTCCGGATATAACCAGTTAAGGATTTTAGATGAGGACATTCCTAAAATTGCATTTAGGAAAAGATATGGACACTATGAGTTTACAGTAATACTATTTGGATTGACAAATGCATCAGCAATCTTTATGGATTTGATGAACAGGGTGTTTCATCAATTTATTGAATAGTTTGTGGTAGTGTTCATAGATGATATATTGGTGTATTCAAAGAGTAAAGAGGAACATGTAGAACAACTGAGGGTAATTCTACAAACACTAAGATAAAACAACCTTTATACAAAGTTCTCTAAGTGTGAATTTTGGTTGGATAAGGTAGAATTCTTAGGTCATTTTGTGTCTAAGGATGGCGTGGAAGTAGATCCATCCAAGATCCAAGCTGTGAAGGGTTGGCATATGCCCAAAAACAGTATCGGATGTTCGGAGTTTCTTAGGTCTAGCAGGATATTATAGGAGTTTTGTGAAGGACTTCTCAAAGATTGCTAAACCTATGACTACTCTGATGAAGAAGGACAAGATGTTCGATTGGGATGATAAGTGTGAAGAGGCATTCCAACTCTTGAAACAAAAATTAGTTGCAGCACCAGTGCTTACACTTCCAGACAATAGTGGTATCTAAGATGTGTATAGTGATGCATCAAAGAATGGTTTGGGGTGTGTGCTTACGCAAAATGGGAAGGTGATTGCATTTGCATCAAGGAAGTTAAAGACCCATGAAGTAAATTACCCAACCCATGATTTATAATTAGTTACAATCATATATATTTACACTAAAGATTTGGTGCCATTACTTGTATGGAGTGAAATGTAGAATTTACACAGACCATAAGAGCTTGAAGTACATTTTCACTCAAAAGGATTTGAATTCTCGCCAAAGGAGATAGTTAGAGTATACGACGAATTATGAGTTAAACATAGAGTATCATGAGGGGAAAACAAATGTAGTCGCGGATGCTTTAAGTCGTAAGACCAGTCATGGATTGAATACTTTAGTAGTGACTAATGAGTTATATAGAGAAATGAGGAAAATGAATTTAGAAGTTGTAGAATGGGGAGTGACAACAGACATTCTTGCAAATTTGACTATCTAACCAACGATATTCGATGAAATAAGGGAAAACCAGGTAGGAGATGTAAAATTAGATAAGATTAGTGAGAAAATAAAACAAGCCAAAGCTACAGATTTCAAAATTCATGAATATGGGAGTTTAAGGTACAAAGGTCGACGGTGTGTACCCTAAAAATGTGAGGAAGTAAAAAGAAAGTTAACGGAAAAGGGTCACAATACACCCTACTCAGTGCACCCAGGAGGGGATAAACTATACAAGGATTTGAAAAAGGTGTATTGGTGGCCTAGATTAAAGAATGAAGTTGCGGAGTTAATGAAGTTGCGGAGTTTGTGGCAAAGTGTTTGACTTGTCAAAAGGTGAAGATAGAGCACAAGAGACCCGAAGGAACTACGCAATCATTGGAAATTCTTGGATGGAAGTGGGATTGCATTTCAATGGATTTTGTGACTTGCCTTCCAAAATCAAAGAGTGGAAATGGCACCATTTGGTTAGTGGTGGACAGACTTACAAAATCTGCGGTGTTCATACTAATGAAGGAGACTTGGAAGCACTACTACATTTTTAATCTAATACAACGGTTCAAAATTAGCTAATACAACGGCCAATTTCATACCGTTGTATTAGACTAGGCTAATACAACGGATTATACTAAAACAGGTCTAATATAACGGTTTATACAAACCGTTGTATTAGATATACTAACCCGTTGTATTAGATGAGCTAATCCAACGGATTATTCTTCTAATTCAACGGATAGTGTTCCTAGAATTTTTTTTTTTTTTAATTTTTCAGATTGAGCTAATCCAACGGACAGTGGAGCTAATCCAACGGATCAACCCAAAATAAAAAAAATGCATAACACCTAATACAACGGATGGTTAAAAAAAATAAAAAAATAAACAAGGACCTAATCCAACGGTTTTGTCCAAAAATAAAATAAAATAAAACCGGGAAATGGTGAAATATTTTAGAGGCAAAAATAAAATTGAAACCCTTAAACTTCTCAGTTGCCCTCGCCATTGCACGCAAAGACTCTTCTCAGTCGCCCCCTCGCCATTGCTGCTCTGCTTCGTTCTCAGTCGCCATTGAAAATAATCTTCTCATAGGTAGGTCATTGTTGCTCGAATTTTTTTATAGCTTGAATTTTGAATGGTTTTTGATTTATGAACCCTATTTTTTTTGGGGGTTTATTTTCGTATACCTTGAACTAATTTTTTTCTTGTCTTTCAATGGTGGCCAAGAAAGAGGAGAGAGAATTTGGCTATTGCTGCTGCTAAGACTTTCATTGCTCAAACATACACCCTCTCGCAACCTTTCTTCTTATCTCTCTACTAATTCCTCCTCTGGTAAATTCCTTCTCTTTCTTTGATTTTTTGCAATTCTTTTAGCTAATTTTGTGATTTAATTTTGTTCAATAGAGAAAAGTTGCAATTTGGATTCTAAAATCTGTAATTTTTCTAGTTTTGTTTGGATAATTTTATGGTTGGTAATTTTTTGATGATTTGTTGAGCCGTTTTAAGCCAATTTTATCAAGATGAATTAGATGATTGTATCTGTATTTTTTTTTTTTTGGTATTATTGAATTATAATAGACGCTCAATTTTCAGTTAGAGTGATGGTATAAAGATAATTGTTGTATGGTGGTGAATAGTGCATATAACAATGACAATTTTCGTAATTGAAAAGGCTAGTTGATAGAGTAACATTGAAAATTATGAATTAGTACTTAGGGTGTAAATCATGGCTTGGGTTTGTGAGTCATAATTTTTTAATACTCTGACATTATTTTGTTATTAACAAAATATATTTTCTGTTAACTTGTGATAGCATGGAGAATTTCCTAGATGTTAGTGAAATTATATTAACTTTTGAGACTTTTGAGTTTGTCTTATTAACTTGTGATAACAAGACCATCAATAACACTTCAGACCATGATCCAAGAATGCTTGCAGCAGGTTTTCTGAGGTATGTGGCTAATTATAAGGTGTATTTCGCTAGAGTGTTTGGGAGAGTGGCTAGGGGTGTGCCAAGGCATGCTACAACCTAGAACTGTCCCCCTGCTGGTGTAGTGAAGATTAATACTGATGCTGCGATCTTAAATGAGAAATAAGTTGGCTTGGGATTGGTGGTTAGTGACTCGAATGGTGCTCTTATTGCTACTGCTGCAAGACGAAAATTGGGATCCAAGTGTTGCCAAGGTTGCTGCTCTTTGTTTGGGATGGAGCTTGCACAATGTCTTGGCTATACTAAAGTGTGTTTGGAGACTGATACACTGAGTGTGGGTCAGGAAATTGAGAGCAATCAACAGGGATACAACTATATTCATTTGTTTATTGATCGTGTTATTTGTATGTTTAAGGAAAAGGGAATATATTAAAACTTAATAAACCACAAAGAGTTTGAGAGATGCTGCCATAGCAACTCCATTAACCAAGCCA